AGCACCTCAAAAGCGCAAGTAGATAAATAGGTACCGTTCCAGGTAAACGGCGTTTCTGTACGCTGCTCTGGTTCGCCAGAAGCGGCTTAGTCCTGCTGGGCACATGACCCGGAAGCTGTACGCTGGCTCCCTCGGCCAGTAAAGCGAGATGAGCGCCGCAACCCCAGAGTCGGCCACGACTAGACCTAATGGTCAGGGGTCCCTTTACCTTTAAATATTGTTTCAGTAACTGCTGTGCATTTCCCCCCCTTTTCTTTTTTTTCCTGCATACAGATTGATTTGATTATATTTCTACAGGACAGGGACAGGAACATTCCCAGCAGTGACATGCTACCTTTGGCGTAATTCACTGACCCAAAATACCAAAGAAACACTGCCCTCCCCATCACTTTTTTAAAACAGCCTTGCTTTGGGGCTGTCCAGCCTTTGTTTCCCACATGGAAGGGGCCACAGGAGTTAAGAATCCACAGCTGTACAACACTATGGCTGCCAGGAGGAATCTGCCAGTCCTTCCCTGGGTGGGGACCTAGTCCTCCCGAACTTAAAAATGGAAAGCGTAATGCTGATGGTCAGTAAAAGAGGTTTAAAGACTGTCTCAAGGCAAATCTTTAAAAATGTAGTATAAATACTGACAACTGGGACACACTGGCCTGCGAGCGCTCCAGTTGGAGAACAGCCTTTACCAAAGGTGTCCTGGGCTTTGATGACACTCGAACTCAGGATGCAAGGGAGAAATGTGCTAAGAGGAAGGCACGCTTGGCAAATCCACACCGTGATCAACTCCCACCCGGAAACCAGTGGCCCCACTGTCGAAGGACATGTGAATCCAGAATTGGCCTCCACAGTCACTTACGGACTCACTGTTAAGACCGTGTTCATGGAAGACAATCTTGCTTGGCTACGAGTGATCGCCAAAGAAGAAAAGAAGGTCAACCTGTTTCAGCATTACTTTAGACTGGAGGGGGGGGGCAGTTCGATCCATACTTTTTGTTGTTGCCCGTTTTCTATGAGGAAGGGGGTTTATATGCCACTTCCTGCAAAATAATTGATATATACGGGACCTGGCATTGCCCGGGAATGTGAAGAACCCCCAGAATATTGTGTTTTTCAGTGTAGTTTGTGAGTTTGAACCTGTTACGCCAAAGCCACGTTTTGGTCCACCACCTTGGTTTAAAATGGTGTCTGGTGTCCGAACGCCGACAAAGGCTGCTGTCCGCAGCTCATGAGGCAGCCAAAGCTATGCAAAAACAAAGAAGAAACAGCTGAAGTGGCACTGAAGTCAGATTTCAGTCTGCCACCTAGAATCAAAATGGCACCCGGCATTCAAACATTCGACGGCTGCTGCTCAAACCTCAGGATCTGTCATGCCAAGGCTGGTGACAGTTTCTCAAGAGGCAGGGAACCCTAAAGAGGACCGACAACCTACTTTCCAAAATATATAGATGATTCAACTTCAATTCCCCAACCTGGTGTACTCTTGCCATGGTTCCGACTCCATCAGCCCGGCCCATGATTATGGGAGTTGTAGAGCAAAATATTGGAAGAGCTCCCAGTTTTCGAAGGGCAAGCTAGCTTAAGAACCCTTCTTGCCTGTTTCTCAAAAGCAACAGATTTTTAGAGCGGTCGAAACATCCATTGCCCAAAGGCACTTTTCTTATCCATCATACCTTCCTGCTTTTAGCAACAGACGTGTTTTCTCTGTGAAGGACGGGGGTTCTCCGAATCAGAAGTGATGGATCTAATCTTTTTATGCTCCAGACTCCTGGTTTTTCCTTTTTAAAAAGCCACTCCAAAGATCCAGCACACCGTTTCATATGCAAAGCTCCTTTTTAAAATAATGTCTTCCAATGTTATTCACCAGAATAAAGAGCCACTAACACACAACACTTGTCCTTTGCAATTCCAGCAGGCAGGGTTAAAAAAAAAAAGAGGAAGGGAAAGTTGTAGAATTTTGACGGCATGGTGCAGGAATAGTTAAGCCCCTTTTACTGTTAATAAAGTCTTTATTAAAGCTTTTCACCCTGGGATTTGCACCAAATAGCCTCCCCAGTTGTTTCTCCATTAACATTACCAAGGGTCTGGAAACCAAGCCTTATGGGGAACAGTTGAGGGAACTGGGTGTGTTTAGGTTGGAGAGTCATGTATGATCTAGTTGAGATTCCTTCATTGCAGGGGGTTGGACTAGATGACCCTCAGGGACCCCTTCCAACTCTCTGAGGTGCCAGGGATGGACCCTGAAGCCTTCTGCATGCAAAACAGATGCTCTTACCTCTGAGCTACAGCCGTTCAACCCAGAAACACCATTGCCCACCTTACATGCCACAATGCCGGTTTCAAATATGCAGCCTGACCTTATACGAAAACTGCACCAGCCTCTCTCCACGAAGTTCCTAGCTAAGCAGCTGAGATGCAGTCCCCCCCCCACCCCATTCCCCGTTGGAGAAGTAAAATGAATCAGTAACAGAACTTTACAGCATTTGAGTAACAGAGCAGCTTGGGAAAATCTTCCCAGGCCCCGATGCCTTGACATCAGTCTAAGCACACACACAAAAACTGTTGTACAGAGAATCTGTGCACCCCCCCCCATCTATTTAATGCAGATGACTTCTACCAAAGACTCCTGTGAACTGTAGGGCTGGGAATTATAGGAACTTCTTGTTGTTGTTTAGTCGTGTCCGCCTCTTCGTGACCCCCTGGACCAGAGCACGCCAGGCACTCCTGTCTTCCACTGCCTCCCGCAGTTTGGTCAAACTCATGCTGGTAGCTTTGAGAACACTGTCCAACCATCTCGTCCTCCGTCGTCCCCTTCTCCTTGTGCCCTCCATCTTTCCCAGCATCAGGGTCTTTTCCAGGGAGACTTCTCTTCTCATGAGGTGGCCAAAGTCTTGGAGCCTCAGCTTCACGATCTGTCCTTCCAGTGAGCACTCAGGGCTGATTTCCTTCAGAATGGAGAGGTTTGGTCTTCTTGCAGTCCATGGGACTCTCAAGAGTCTCCTCCAGCACCAGAATTCAAAAGCATCCATTCTTTGGCGATCAGCCTTCTTTATGGTCCAGCTCTCACTTCCATACATCACTACTGGGAAAACCATAGGTTTTACTATACGGACCTTTGTTGGCAAGGTGACGTCTCTGCTTTTTAAGATGCTGTATAGGAACTACAGTTCCCAATATTATTGCTATTGGGTGGGTGGGTGGGGAGACATGGGCTTCAGATGTGTGGTGTCTGCACAGAGTCAGGCCAGTGTCCAATCTATATCCATGTCATCTGCACGAGGCAGAGAAACTTGTTGATCCCGAGGACTGCATTTCCTCGTGGGCAACCTTCCAGAGGCCACAAGTCCCTTGGTGGGCAGAGGTTTCCAGTGGCACATTCTAGACAGGCAAAAGCGGTTAGGAATGGAGCATGACCTTGGAAAGATAAGACGGGCCTGGAGAGCTGCAGCCATGCCTCCGTGTGTAGACACCAATTGGGAATAGCTGGGCAGGGCTTCAGACACAGGTCTGCCCCAGTCCTGACTGGGACCTTCAAATAATACATCAGGCGCTAGGAAGAGGATTCAAGCTGTTGCACTAACCAGGAAAGATACATGAATAAATCAGAGGATACAGGCACACCCACACCATAATCAAATCTACATGAGACGTTCAAAAACCAACAAGCCTGCTATCCCAACCTGGTTAGCCCCTAAAAACTCTGATACCCCATTTTTAAATACAATATACTCCTATAGAGACTCCTTACACTGTTTAATTTTTTTTTAAAAAAATAATTTTTGTTATTAAAATAATTCAGCATTAATACCCACACTCAATCCCAGATACTTCTTTTTTCCACCACCATCCCTTACCCCTCACCCCATCCTGGTGCTAAACTTCAAATCTACTCAGTTGCAATTTCTTTCCACTTCTATTACTTTCTTTCACACCATTAAACCATTTTTCTGCTTCTTTTTCTGTTACACATTGTTATCCATCTTATTTAGTATTTCAGTATTTATAACGGAACTTGTTTATTCTAAAAGGAGTTCTGATTCAATATAGTTTTACAAGTATCCTTTAGACAAGGACTGGAAGGTGTTTTAAGGATACTTGCAAAACTATATTGAAAAATCAGAACTCCTTACACTGTTTTTAAAACCAAAATCGCATTTGGATAGAAACTTGTTTCTCAGGCGGCTAGTCCTAGTCTTTATAACCCTGTACCTTCTTTCCAGAAGGCAGAAGCTGAAAGAGATAATTTCCGGGGTGTGCACGATCCTGCAGCTTTATGGCACCTGGAAGCATGGATTTGATCCATCCCACAAGAAACTTTGGGAACTGTGGTGTTTTAAGGGTGCTGGGAATTGTAGCTCTGCAAAGAGGCGGCGCTAGTTCTCAAGAGTTCTCTGTGTGAAGCCGCATGCTTTAAATGTACGGCGTGGAGGTGACCTAAGAGTGGGGACGGTGTGTGCAAAGAAAATGGGGAGGGCTGAAGAAAGCTTGCAGGCTCCTACGCCACCTTGAGATAATGGGAGTGTGCCTCCGGGGGTGAAACCACTGTATGAGCAGCATCAATGTGACCCTCCCCAGGGCACAAGCCTGGGCAGCGTGTCTGGAGGTCCCGAGACAACAAGACCCCCCTCGTGTCCTTGCTGATACAGTCCAGAGGAAAGCAGAGCAAGACGTTTGGCGCTGGCTTCGATGCAGGAGTTGCCAGAAGGCGCCACCCAACCATCTGAGAGACTCACTCGTCTCCAGTATAGGGTGCACTGCCTTTTCTTCTCCCGAAAAAATATCCCACAAGCCAGATTTAGGATCAGTGTTTTCCTTCTCCTAGATGGGCTACCTTCCCAGTGGACAAGCCCCACCTGCCGCTCAGATATAACTGCAGTAACGAATAGGGATTGGGCTTAAATGGGGCAGGCAGGGAGAAAGGGCTGCGTATGTACCATAACGCCATATAACTATTTTGACCATTACGAAATATTTTGCTATGGTAATTTAAAAACACTGCACACAAGTTTAAGTGGTGGAGGGCAAAGGAAGTTTATTGGAAGGACCGAGGGTAGCTCATCACTCTTCAACCAGGCTTGTACAAACACATCACATGGGAGTTTTGACCCAACCTAGAAAACAAAACAAACCGGGATTTAGTTGCATGCCTCAACCCTATCGATAGGCAGCTGAAATTCAGAGCGCCAGAAAGTTTAGGGGAATGATCAGCACTGCACAAACTGGACCTGCAAGTGGGGCTGGACTCCCCCAACTGGTGGCTGGGGTGAACAGGAGTCAAATCAGTCATTTTTTCCTTCTTCTGAAAGGTGGTTATAAGTCCATTACTTGTTTCGTATTTGTTTTTGTACTTTCTGTTTAACCCCCCCCTTTAGTGTTGTGTGTGTGTTGCAAAATAAAATATTTTATCGACAATAAACAAAACAATGTAATAAAAATAATGAATTACAATAGCAGCGCAGTACAGTGGTGCCTCGCAAGACGAAATTAATTCGTTCCGCGAGTTTTGTCGCCTTGCGATTTTTTTCGTCTTGCGAAGCACGTGTCGGGAAAGTTTTGGAAAAGCTTCAAAAATCACCAAAGTCTTTAAAAACCTCAGAAAAGGCTACCACACCGCGTTCTATGAGTTGCTCCTCGAAGTCAAGTCGCAACTGTATTAACGGTGTTAAGAAAAAGGAAACAAACTTGCAAGACGTTTCCGTCTTGCGAAGCAAGCCCATAGGGAAAATCGTCTTGCGAAGCAGCTCAAAAAACAAAAAAACCCTTTCGTCTAGCGAGTTTTTTGTCTTGCGAGGCATTCGTCTTGCGAGGTACCACTGTACATCCAATAGAATAGGAACCTTCTATGGCCTTTTAAATGTGCTGGGGGGGGAGTGTTATTGGTTTGTTTTTGTTTTATTTTGTGTTCCTATTTTGTATTTTTATGTTGTGAACCACCCCGTGATCTTCCAATGATATTATTATGTTGCTGAATTCCTTCAAAACCATTAGGAAAACCAATTTTCACTTTGTATTGTGGAGAGGTAGTCCTGTGTGTCTGTATTGGTTGCAGATAAGAGAAAATTCCACCAAACAGCATTGGGTCCTCCAAGCCTTTGACAAGACACAATTTACGAGTTATTATTTTTACTCCAAAGCAAAAGTTGCATATGCTGCAAGGTTTTCCATTTGGGGGGCAACTGAGGTTCTGAGCAAGTTTGAACGCAAAGGTTTTTCCTTACGCCCAGGGAATATTTTCTAGCAAACTGCAATAATTCAAAGCCAGTTGCTAGGTCGTTTAAACTCATCCTAAGCGAATAGAACCAACATCTCATTTTCAATCTTTCAGCATGCCTATGGACCACCAAATATTGATCAGATAATTGCAGGCATGAGGATACCCCAGGAGGATTCTTTAAAAGGCTTTAAGGCTAGGTGGATAGAAAGGGGAGACCTGCCAAAATCCTGCACCCATAATTGGTAATGGGTTCAATGGACCAGAGTATGGGAGTTGAGATTTAAAAAGCATCCTTTTCCTGCAAGTTCCAAAGATCTGAGGCCCACTCCACGTTAACTCGGAGCAAGGCTTTTAATTTGGCGGCCCATTCCATGAAATAGCATTCCTGTTGAGATATGGCAGGTGTCTACTCTCTGGAGAACAACTGAAGGCATTTTTGTTCCCGAGGGCTTTTCCCAGCTGGGTGAATAGGTCTCTGCCATGAGTGTTGTAGTGGATTCTATCCAATGTTAGTCCTTTTCAGAGACTCCTTAATTTCAGTGGCTCTAATCCCAGTGCAACTCAGATGGATGCAACCACTGGGTTGTAGTCAAAGAAACATCAACACAAACACTGAGGTCCAGCTCTGGGGGCCTTCTGGCGGTTCCCTCCCTGCGAGAAGTGAGGTTACAGGGAACCAGGCAGATGGCCTTCTAGGTGGTGGCGCCCGCCCTGTGGAACACTCTCCCATCAGATGTCAAGGGAAGAAACAACTACCTGACTTTTAGAAGACATCTGAAGGCAGCCCTGTTTAGGGAAGTTTTGAATGTTTGATGTTTTATTCTGTTTTTAATGTTCTGTTGAAAGCCACTTAGAGTGGCTGGGAAAACCCAGCCAGATGGACGGGGTATAAATAATAAATTATTATTAATTTCTCCTTGCACAATGCAACATTCTCCTCCTGTCCTCCCCGTGGATTTTACATGTATCTTCTGCTTTCGCTCCCGCCAGTCTTGCCTTCAGTTGCTTTTATTGTATTTCGTGCACTGCTTTTTTCAAACACAGATTAAACGATAATCTGAAAGATGTCAGGGTTGAGCAAGGCTGAACTGCGCACTGCTCGAAAGGGGATGGGTAATTAGAAGAAGACTCACTTGGCTACAGCTCAGCGCAACCGCCGGGCTTCGCGTTCAGACTCCAACAGCGTGAGGACATCCCCTTCCCGGACTGGGCCTTTCACGTTGCGGATAATCGAACGGCTGGTGTCATCCATGAATTCCACACGGACCTACGAAGGAGACAAGGAGGCATTAGCAGGATGAAATTAGCAGAGGAGCTGGGTTGCAAAAGACAACCAAAAATTGAACCTGTTTTGAAAGCAAGGCTTCAAATATTTATGGCAGGGTTCCCCTGAGCATGCACAGAATACATTTTCCTTTCTATTGCAGGACTACATCGTCCTCATTAGAGAACTATCCAGCCCTGCCGCGAATGTCACCTACAAAAGATCCTCGTGTTGCTAAGTTTACAGTGGTGCCCCGCTAGACGAATGCCTCGCAAGATGAAAAACCCGCTAAACAAAAGGGTTTTCCGTTTTTCGATGCGCTTTGCAAGACGATTTTCCCTATGGGCTTGCTTCGCAAGACGGAAATGTCTTGCGAGTCTTGCGATTTTTTTTGCTCCCCCCCTTTTCTAAGCCGCTAAGCGCCGCTAATAGTCTTTTAGCCGCTAAGCCTTTAATAGCCTTTTAGCCACTAATAGCCTTTTAGCCGCTAATAGCCTTTTAGCCGCTAAGCCTTTAATAGCCTTTTAGCCGCTAAGCCTTTAATAGCCGCTAAGCCGCTAATAGCGCTAATAGGGTTGCTTCGCAAGACGAAAAAACCGCTAGACGAAGAGACTCGCGGAACGGATTATTTTCGTCTTGCGAGGCACAACTGTATTGCATTTTTATACTGTTTAATCGTCATTATTTATTTTAATTTATACACTGCACTTCATCCAAGGCTCAAGGTGTTAGGAGCTGTTTAGTATGTGCAGGCACTACACTAACCATTCTGCAAGTGAGGGCAACCTACTTTCGTAACGACGACTCACATTTGAAGGGGGGGTGTTATTGGTTTGCTTTTGTTCATTTTTAAATGAATCTATTTATTTTTATGTTGTGTACTGCCTGAGATATACAGATGAATGGCAGTATACACACATTTAATAAATAATAATAATAATCACCACTCACAGGGAGGTTTACAAACCTACCCAGATGCTTCTAGGAAAGTCAAGGTGGCATTAATCGGTTTAGGGAAGTTTTTAATGTTTGATGTCTTATCGTGTTTTTAATACTCTGTTGGGAGCCCTCCAGAGTGTCTGGGGAAACCCAGCCAGATGGACGGGGTAGAAATAATAAATTTTTATTATTAGCATTTTTAGTAGGGCTGCAAACTTTTTTCTCGATTGGACTTTACAGGGGAGCGCTTTGAGGTTTGCGCTCCCCCTGCGCAACTGCATTTAAACTTTGCGAAAGGAGTAAGGCTCTTCCAAGGGTTTCGTTCCTGGAAACTTTTTACGAAATACTTCTACCCCAAGAGTTGTAGAGTGGGACGGGACCCCCCGAGGATCATCTAGTCCAACGCTATGGTGGCGTCGCCGAGACCCCTCCTTCGCCTTTAAGAGACCCATACTCAGGCACCGAGACAAGAAAGGGGGTGGTTAGCCTCTGAGGGCGTGCAGTCCATCTAGTCCAACCCCTGAGTGAGCTCAGCCCACCAAACTTTTCTGATGCCCTGACCCATAAAATTTGATGGCGAGGTACTGTGTGTGTTTGTGTGTCTGGTGGCGTCGCCGAGGCCCCTCCTTAGCCTTGAAGAGGCCCAGACTCAGGCACTGAGACGAGAGGAGGAAGAAGGGGGTGGTTAGCCTCTGAGGGCGTGCAAAGTGCAAATCCCCCCCAGGATCATCTAGTCCAACCCTCTGGTGGCGTTGCTGAGGCTCCTCCTTTGCCTTTAAGAGACCCAGACTCAGGCACTGAGACGAGAAAGGGGGTGGTTAGCCTCTGAGGGCGTGCAGAGTGCAAATCCTCCCCCAGGATCATCTAGTCCAACCCCCTGAGTGAGCTCAGCCCACCAAACTTTTCTGATGCCCTGACCCATGAAATTTGATGGCGAGGTAGTGTGTGTGTTTGTGTGTCTGGTGGCGTCGCCGAGGCCCCTCCTTAGCCTTGAAGAAGCCCAGACAGGCACCGAGACGAGAGGAGGAAGAAGGGGGTGGTTAGCCTCTGAGGGCGTGCAGAGTGCAAATCCCCCCCCCGAGGATCATCTAGTCCAACCCTCTGGTGGCGTTGCTGAGGCTCCTCCTTTGCCTTTAAGAGACCCAGACTCAGGCACCGAGACGAGAGGAGGAAGAAGGGGGTGATAAGCCTCTGAGGGCGTGCAGAGTGCAAATCCCCCCCGAGTCCAACCCTCTGGTGGCGTCGCCGAGTCCCCTCCTTCGCCTTGAAGAGGCCCAGACTCAGGCACCGAGACGAGAGAAGGAGGAAGGGGAGGTTAGCCTCTGAGGGCGTGCAGAGTGCAACCCCCCCCGGAAGTGGAGGAGTAGCATGGGGGGATGCCTTGTCCACCCCCACCCCTCTCCCGGGCTTACCTGGGTGCACTGCCCCTGCGAGCCTGTCCGGCCCAGCACTTTGGTGACTCGGGCCAGCTTGATGGGCTGCACGCGGCTCGTGTCCATGGCGGAGGCGAAGGCGGCAGGCGGAAAGGGTCACGTGCCCCTGGACGGGCCTTTATATACCCTCGGAGGGGGGAGAGTCCACGCCTACCAGCTCCGGGAAGGGGTGTGTGACGTAAAGACTTCAACTCCCGTCAGCCTCCGCCGGCGCTCTCAGCGCTCGTGGATGGCGGGAGTTGTAGTCCAAAGTGGGAGCTGCTTCCCAGCATGCACAGCGAGCTCCGTCAGGTCAACCGGCGCTTCCCGGCATGCCCCGCGCTGAGAGGTTTCTGTTGAATGTGAAATTTACTCGTTTCTCAATGTATCAATAAATAAATCACACGTTGTCTTTGGTTAGAGTTCACTTCTTAGCTTTATTAATAAATTATCCTCTATTAGGTTTCATTTATTTCCACAAATACACACTCGGTCCCTCACGTCCTTCTTCCCAGCATGCTTTGCTACACCCTTCTCACAAAAAAAAGTACAGTATCCTGTTTCCTATAACTTTATTTTTCTCTAGACGGATTTGGATTCTTCCATTTAGACTTAATGGAAAGAAAGAGGAAGGGAGAAAGAGAGAGAAAGCAGGCCTCTCCTCACAGCGTTTCCCTCACCACTCCCAGGGTGCATTGCGCGACCTTCCTGCCGCAAGGGACTCCCTTCCTCCCGGCGTGCCACGCGGCACTAATGAACCCCACATGACTACGGAAGCCCCGAAGAGACTTTCCGAATCGTCGTTTTCCCGAGGTGCCCTGCGGCTCCCGTGCCCTTGACAACACAGGCCAAAATGGCGTCGGCCACCCGCCTCATCCAGAAGATCCGCAACTTTGCGGCCGGGGTAAGAACCGAACCGGGCTGGGAACCGGCAGGCAGACTCTAACGCAGGCGTAGGCAAGCCCCGGCCCTCCAGATGTTTGGGACTACAATTCCCATCATCCCTGACCACTGGTCCTGTTAGCTAGGGATCATGGGAGTTGTAGTCCCAAAACATCTGGAGGGCCAGGTTTGCCTATGCCTGCTCTAAAGCAGCCTTTCTCAACCTGTGGGTCCCCAGATGTTGTTGAACTACAACTCCCATCACCCTTAGCTAGCAAGGCCAGAGCTCAGGGATGATGGGAGTTGTAGTCCAACAACATCTGGGGACCCACAAGTTGAGAACTCCTGCTCTAAAGCAGTGTTCCCCAACCTTGGGCCTCCAGCTGTTTTTGGACTACAATTCCCATCATCCTTGACCACTGGTCTTGCTAGCGAGGGATGATGGGAGTTGTAGTCCAAAAACAACTGGAGGCCCAAGGTTGGGGAACACTGCTCCTAAGGATCCCTGTGGCAACGGTAGTGGGAAATTATGCCTGGTGGATTTAATTCCCCCCCCCCCGGCACGGTTTCCCATCCGATAGCCTAGCCCTGTCCCCTTTCTGTGCAAGGGATCATGGGGGTTGTAGTCCTGCTCCTGGATTAAAATAGGGAGACCCCCCTACATTTTTTTTTAAAAAGGCAGTTAAATACCAATCCAATCAATTCATCAAACTTAGTTCCATTTAAAGCATATGACTTCTTCCCCAAAACAATAGGATCCCCCACAAAACTAGAATTCCCAACACCCTCAAAACTACAGTTCCCAGGAGTGGGTGGGTGGGGGAGAATCACGTGCTTTAAATGGGACTAAGTTTAGTTGTTTTAACTGCAGTTTAAAGCCACATACTCTAAATATGCTTTAGATGCATGTTGTGGCTGTGACTTTTCATTCATCGCCTTGCTTGCAATGAAACCTAAAGCTGGCCCATTGAAATACATTTATTTATTCATTCTTTTCAAGTTTATACATTTCACTAATTTTATATATTTCACTAATTTTACAATCATTTTGACATTTCAAAACTTGACTTCCTTCCCCCTCTTTCTGACGTTCCTTAAATTTGTTTTTAATATCTCCTGCATATCCAGATTAACTTAATTTGCTCATTTATTCATCTTCTTTAAAGATATACTCTTATAAAACTGCAGGTTATTACAATAATCCTGACATTGTATTTATAATTTATCTGTACAGTGGTACCTCGGGTTACATACGCTTCAGGTTACAGACTCCGCTAACCCAGAAATATTGCCTCGGGTTAAGAACTTTGCTTCAGGATGAGAAGAGAAATCGTGCAGCAGCGGCAGCAGGAGGCCCCATTAGCTAAAGTGGTGCTTCAGGTTAAGAACAGTTTCAGGTTAAGAACAGACCTCCAGAACGAATTAAGTACTTAACCTGAGGTACCACTGTAAATATTCAATAAACCATTTCCATTCTTTTATTTTAAAAAATTGTTATCTTGATTTCTTATACTTCCGGTAAGTTTCGCCAGTTCTGCATATTTCGTAAATTTTTATATCCATTCTTCCTTTGCTGGGACTTATGCTTCTTTCCATTTTGGGGGCAAGGAATTTAATTTCTGCTCATTACAGTGAGCATCTCAGAAACCAAATGTTTCGGTTTTCGAAAGTCAGATACCCAGGAAGTAATTGCTCCCATTTTTGAACACTTTTCGGAAGTCAGACGGTCCTCCGGAACGGATTACGTTCGAAAACTGAGGTACCACTGTATTAACCTGGTTTCAGATTGATGCTAAGCGACAGGTATTCTTCTCGCCAGTTCTTGTTGCAGTTTAGCTTTTAAGAAAACACAGGCTTCCTGCCCTCTAGGTGGCACACTTGACTTGAGCCTTGCCCCTCTTTTGTCTTTCTCTCTCTTTTTTTAACAGCGAGATCTCCAAGCGAAACTTCAGCTTCGTTACACAGAGATTGCCAAGAGGTAAGGGGGTGGGGTGTCAAGTGTGGGAGGGGTTCCTTCGCTGCCTTTCCCCTGGAAGGGAACCAAAGCCCTGGGTTCAGATCTCAGCCGCAGGCCTCTCCCCCCCCAATGAAACAAGTTTTGAACTGCACACATGATGGACTTTCAGGAGAAAGTCAGAGCTGGGACAGCTCAGTCAGCAGAGCGCGAGATTTTCCATCTCAAAGTCATGGGTTCGAGCCCGACGGTGGGCAAAAAGATTCCTTCCGTTGCAGAGGGATGGACTACAAATGACCTTTGTGGTCCCTTCCAACTCTACAATTCTATGAAATGCTAAAACGTTTCTGTTTGCCCAGACATTTGAAAGACACTGTTCCCAATAACCCTGAGATAATGTTTTTTTTTTAATAAAAAAAACCTAACATGTTTTATTAGAGGGACGCAGGTGGCACTGTGGGTTAAACCACAGAGCCTAGGACTTGCCGATCAGAAGGTCGGCGGTTCGAATCCCCACGACGGGGTGAGCTCCCGTTGCTCGGTCCCAGCTCCTGCCAACCTAACAGTTCAAAAGCACAAAACGTGCAAGTAGATAAATAGGTACCGCTCTGGCGGGAAGGTAAATGGCATTTCCGTGCGCTGCTCTGGTTCGCCAGAAGCGGCTTAGTCATTCTGGCCACATGACCCGAAAGCTGTACGCTGGCTCCCTTGGCCAATAAAGCAAGATGAGCGCTGCAACCCCAGAGTCGGCCACGACTGGACCTAATAGTCCGGGGTCCCTTTACCTTTACCTTTAACATGTTTTATTACTGCTGTCTGGGGCTCCTTCATGTGGAAGGGTGGGATATAAATCAAATAATGGAGAAGAAATTTAGAGTACTGAGTAAATTTATTGATAAAAAATATTTATTTAGTACATTATATCCCACCTTTCCTGCAAGAGCTCAAGGTCATGAAGGTAGTTTTCCTCCTCATTCTATCCTCACAGCAACCCTGTGAAGTAGGCCAGGCAGAGAGTGAGTGAACAACCCAATGAGCTTCCAGGCTGGGTGGGAGGATTCGCACCCTCCACCTGTGAGTTCCATTATTATTGTGAATAAAGGCTCTATTGTCTTAAAACAAGCCAGACATTTGCATATGCCGATGGCGCTTGAGTGGTCATGTGCCTCAATATCTGTGTAAGAAATAAAATCATGCCATATTATGGGGGAAAATGTCATTTGAGCTCAGCCCTTTAGATACTTTCAATTTATGGGAGATGAATCCTGTTGTTTGCTAATGACTGGTCAGATAACTGAACCAAACCTCTTAGATTTCCCCCTTCCATTGTTTGACCTTCTTAAACGTCTTGTTCTTTAGGACTCAGCCACCTCCACGCCTCCCTGTCGGCCCCAGCCATAAATTTGCAAACAATTACTACTGCACCCGTGACGGACGCCGGGAGACTTTCCCTCCCATTGTCCTTGTATCAGCTCAGAAAAGGTTGGCTCCAGGGCAGCAGCATGCCAGGTAGGTTTTGTCTTCCTTTTGGTCTACACCCACTTCAGCCTAGCAATCTTGGAAGCTAAATGGGGCCAAGTCCAGCTGTTATTTAAGAGCCCTACTGGACTGGAGCAGCCAAGGTAAAACTGTAGACAGACAGCTGGCACAGCTTCATCTTGATGGCTGGTCAGCTTGGGATATATCAAATTTAATGAAGTATTTTGGTTGAAAACTCTGCAAACTTCAGCTCCTATCATGTGGCTTTCTAGCAAGACATGAATTGTTGGTTTTTGACCACGTTTTAAATTTTCCACATTCAGTAACAGAGTAAGTAAAGGTAAAGGGACCCCTGACCATTAGGTCCAGTCGTGACCGACTCTGGGGTTGCAGCGCTCATCTCGCTTTATTGGCCAAGGGAGACGGCGTACAGCTTCTGGGTCATGTGGCCAGCATGACTAAGCCGCTTCTGGCGAACCAGAGCAGAGCACGGAAACACCGTTTACCTTCCCACCTATTTATCTACTTGCACTTTGACGTGCTTTTGAACTGCTAGGTTGGCAGGAGCAGGGACCGAGCAACGGGAGCTCACCCCGTCATAAGGATTCGAACCGCCGACCTTCTGTTCGGGAAATCCTAGGCTCTGTGGTTTAACCCACAGCGCCACCCGCATCCCTAGTAACAGAGTAGAAACATTTAAATTAATGGGCGTTACTAATTTTGGGACTCTCCTTCCTTGGAGTTTTTTAAGCAGAGGTTTGGAATTGTTTACGTGCGATTCCTGCATTGCAGGGGGTTAGATTGGATGAT